GTTGGAGACAGTGCGATTGGCACAGGACAGAGCGGAGTTTAGGGCTGTTGTACATAGGGTCGCTATGAGTCGCAAGCGACTCGACAGCACATAACAACAACAACAAAACTTGAAGATATTGGGGCTGGTTAAGAGTTGAACTTGGGGAGCTCTGGTGGCCTAGTGGCAAGAAGCTGCACTGCAATCCCAGAGGTATATGGTTCGAATCCATCAGATGCTCTGCCGGAGAAGGAGGAGCAGTATCCTCCTGTACCAGTCAGATAGTATTTGACGGTACACGCACACAAAATGATAAAAATTTAAAAAAATTTTTTAAAAGAGAGACCTACTAAAAAAAAAAGTTGGACTTGAACCCGTGTTCCCAGAGTGTGTGGGTGAAATACCCTTTCCAGTCCTCTCCCATCACATCACGCCACGCCCACGAGCATCCGGGCCCTGCCCATAACAGGCCCCGCCCACCGTAGGCCCCGCCCACCCCGTCCAACAGGCCTTGGGGCACTTTCATTTAATGTACAACCGGAACAGCCAGGCGTTCTCTCTGGGAGCCAACCTCGTCTAGGAACCCCGGACCCTGGGACAGGTGAGCCTGACGGGGGCAGTTAGTGCTGTCTGCAGTCAGGGAGGGGTTCCTGGGACAGGTGAGCCTGACGGGGGCAGTTAGTGCTGTCTGCAGTCAGGGAGGGGATCCTGGGGGACTTTCCGGGGGCGGTGACTCGGGTACTCACTCGCGGCGTTCAGCAGCTGAATCTAACTCTGGCAGAACGCAAGTTAACCTGATTCAGGTTACAGGCTACGTGGTGACGTCTGTATTATTTACTTGGAGCTGTTCCGGAATGCGCAGTCAAGGGCGGGGTCTGGGTTGCTCTCGGAACCAATCATCTGCGTCTATGCAAATAGAGGCGGGGCTGGGAAAGGGTTGCGGAGCGCAGAATTCGGGGTTCCAGAGCTGTTCTTGGCGGTACTAGATCTCCAAGCTCGCCTGCCCACTGTATCCGCAGGCTGCCCGCCGACCACCCCCGCCACGTGCGGACCACGACGCCACCCGCAGGACACACGCACCATCCAGAGGACCCCGGAGAGGTGATACTCAGAGGCTAATGTCCACCAGCGAGATCTCGCAGACTCGGGGCTCCCGGGGGAACCCCCAGTTCCGCCTTCCTGGCCCTGGGCCCCCGGTGAGTATGAATGAGGAAAGAGCCCCCATGCTGAGACTTATTGCAAGAATTCAGTCCTCACAGCTTGAGAAATTGAGATTTCTGTACTACCCTGTCTTCCTCTCTGTTCTTCACCCCAGACTTGATTCTTTTCCCCTCTCCTAATCTTTACTCTTGCAGCGTCTGCGACAAAGGAACCCCCGAGTCCTGGAAACCAGCTCGCCACGCAATCTGCACCAGCCCCAGTCCAGAGCCCACCGAGTTAGACCCAAGAAGATAGTATTTGAAGATGAGCTGCGTCTCCAGACTCTCTTGAGTACAAAGAAGCCTGTTGGAGCCAGCTCTGGAGAATGTATACCACGGAGGCACTACCCAGTACCCGACTATGAGCTGTGAGTGTCCCCTTACCGTTTCTGATACTTGGGAACTCAGAAGGGGCATTGACATTAGGGCTTTGATGGGTGAGTAGGAGTATATGAATTAGTCAGAAGGGAAGAAAGGCATTGCCAGCAAAGGCACGAAGACTAAATGGAGAAAAAACAAACTGTGTGTTAGAGGAAGGGGAGAGGATTCTTTACATAAATAATCTTTCTCATCCTGACAGTAAATACCCACCAGTGAGCTGTAAGAGGGAGCGGAGTCGCTACTCGGCTGTGTTTCAGGACCAGTACTCGGAGTTCTTGGAATTGCAGCGTGAGGTGACTTCAGTGCAGGCAAAGCTACAACAACTTCAGACTCTGCTGAGCTCGCTGCCCCCACCCCACAGCCAGGTCAGCGCCCAGAAAGCAGAAACCCCTACCCCAAAGCCATTCTAGAGAAAATCTTGGGCCCCCCTCCTTTTTCAGCGAGGTAAGCACCAGAACATGTGAGGCCAAGATTCCCCCTAGACCAGCCACTTGGTGACTCTCAGACCCTTGGTTTCCTCCTTGCTCCCTGAGCCAGTGTCCCCTGAATCCCTTCTTCCTCCTCCCTTTGTAGAAGGAGGCCCATGTCACAGCTCGAGTCTGGAAGGAATTTAAGAAGAAGCAAATGGTGAGTTGTGCTTCCTGTATGCCCCATCTTGGCCTTTGTGCCTTCAGACATTTGTGCCCGTTTTCAAAGAAAATTGAGGTTCAGAAAGGGAGAGACTCAGCATGAGAGCTGTAGGTCAGGCAGCCACAGGAACTTCCCCGATTCTTGTCCCACCCAGGACCCCAGCTTTCTGGATAAGCAGGCTCGTTGCCAATACCTGAAGGGCAAATTGAGGCACCTCAAGATCCAGATCCAGAAATTTGATGATCAAGAGGACAGCGAGGGTTCAGTGTACTTCTGATGGACCCAGCGAACAGGCGGAAGGACACGCTGGCATGAAGCCTGCTCTGCCCTTGCTTCAGTAAGGCTCCTGCAGTTTTCTACATCTGTGCTGCTTGCGGTTCCTTCTGCCTGTGACAGCTTCCTGACTACAAGTGCCTCAATTTTTGTAGCTCAATTCCTATGAGCCCTCCTCCAAGAAGTCCTCTTCTGGGACCCCTAGTCCCGACTTCATGGGGACAACAGAACTCTCAGCTCTGTCTTCCAGATGCAGTTCATTCTCTCCATCTCAATGGAATAAACATCAATTAAATGCCAACTGTGTACAGCTACCGTAACATTTTTTTTTAACTTGTTTTTTTTTAATTTATTTATTGTGCGTGTACCGTCAAATCAGATCTGACTGGTACAGGAGGGAAATTTTCCCTCCTTCTCCGGCAGAGCATCTGGTGGATTTGAACCGTGTACCTCTGGGATTGCAGTACAGCTTCTTGCCACTAGGCCACCAGAGCTCCCTTGCTACCGTAACATTTCTAATTTCACTTGGCACAAAAAATTGGTTTTCCCCCCTTTAGGTGTGTGTGTGGGGGGGGGGGGCTCACACATTCCAAGGTTCCTAGAAGACCGGCCCAGGATCTCCTAAACCAAGTGAAAACTCTTGTATATGTAGGGAGTTAGTTCTCTCTGCCTCAAGAGTCTCAATTTGTCTCTGGCTGGAAATCAGGATTAAAATCTGGCCTCACTTCCTTAGTCAGTCTTGGGGGTGGTCCCGAGGACCTTTAGTTTTTGCAACTTCAATAATGGAGGCAATAGCTTCAAAATGGTCTTTACAGTCTTGTGTGGGTGCGATGCTGAGAGTCTGGGAGAGATGGCCCTGGGCCCACTGTGATAATAGTAATAATGGAGGGGAGCCTTGACACCAGGGAGCTGGAGATGTCCACCTGCAAGAAGGATTAGATAGGTGGGGTTTTGTGGAGAACTAGTTCACTATACAAAGTCATAAAAATTAGCCTGGGACCAAATGACAGGCCAGAACCCCATGATATTACTCAGTCTTTGATTTGTGAATCTGTGTTGCTGTCCAACCTACAGGAGTGGATTTGCATTCACTTAACCATCAGAGTGACGTTGTGAACCCTGAGCAGGGTCCAGTTCTGCCTCTGGTGAGGGCCCACGTGACCTCTCTCGTACCCTACCCTGGTCCACTTCAAGGTAGAGAGGAGGCCAACAAGTTCCCTACCAATTCCATAGAGAAGTGGCATCCCTCATCTTCCTGGGCCTCCAAGACAGGCATAGGGGAGGCTGAGGTACAAACAGCATTTTGGAGACCTATGGTAACACCAGGATAACACAATTGAATTCTCCCCTGTCCTCAAACAGCATCTTTGGCAAACAGTCTTATTTTTGCCAGGCAGACCCTCAGTCATGTCATCCTCCCCACAACCATTTTACTCACCTTTCCTAAAGCCACAGCCCTGACTATACAACCCCACAGGTGCCTTTCCCGCCTCAAAGCAGGGCTCAAACTTCTGAGGTAGGGATGGCAGGGTCCTTCATGCCCTGCACCATTTCATTCCCAACTTGACTCAACCAAGTTCAGATTTCAGTCTGTCCTTACAGTGGTCCCTACATTTCAAATGCCAGACTTAAAGCGGTCAGTAGTTACATCATTGCTCCTGTTAGGTTCCACTGAGTACAACTCATAGCAACCCTGTGAACAAAGATGAACTCTGCTCTATTCTATGCTATCCTTACACTTCCTGACACACAAGAGCCCATTGCAGCAGTCATCATGTTAATCTACCTGGCTGAGGGTCATTTTTGTTGTTAGAAATAGCTACACAGGAATAGAAAAACCAAATTCAGACTGGCTCAGGCACAAAAAGGGAAGTTTGGTTTCGTGGAATTTAAATACCCAAAGGCTTTAGGAATGGCTTGATCAAGGGGCTCCAAGGCATTCTGGAAAGTTGATATTAACTCTGTAAACTGGGCCACACTGTGACTATATCCTGGTTACAAACCCTGCCATCAGACCTCATTGACCTGTTATGTCACATAATCTCTCTGACCCAATCAGTGTGACCAGGGAGGACAGCCGTGGCTAGATAGGCAGGTCTAGGGCTCACCTAGAGCACATGGACTGAGAATTGGGGAGAGAAGACCCAGGAGCCCCAGTACCAAGATTCTTTTTTTTCCCCCCACTCATAGATTTGTTTACTGGGATGGTTTCTCATCTTGATTCAGGGTGGGTTTTTTTAAATTTTGTGTGTGTGTGTGTGTGTGTGTGTACCGTCAAATCAGATCTGACTGGTACAGGAGATTGCCCCTCCTTCTCCAGCACAGCATCTGGTGGATTCGAACCACATACCTCTGGATTACAGTGCAGCTTCTTGCCACTAGGCCACCAGGGCTCCCTTGATTCAGCGTGCTTTTAGGGCTTAGTCATAAAACAACTGAGCACTATAAACATGGTGACTTTCTAGCATCTCGGACACATCCACGAAGTAGGAGTTGAAAATCTGCACCACCTCTGTGTTCTCTTCGGTAGAGGTTATCACCACTGAACTGCTTATTCAGAAAGCAAAGGTTTGTTCTAGGCCTTGAACAACTCCCAGGCTCCCCTCCTATAGCCAGTGCAGAGCATGCACGTGAACCCAAGCCACACAAGATTTACCGCCCAACCCTCAGCCCACTTCTCCACCTGTCCAAAAGAACAGCACCCACCAGTCACTGTAGGCTGGGGTTGAGTGGTTGAGATTGTGGGTGTACTATGGGACTGGGGTGCTTGGATAGGTGTTAAGGTGGAGGGGCGCCCTCCTTAGCCCCTCATTCAGCGACAGCACCGGCGCCACACAGGTAGGAAACATCTTTATTACTGTGTCCCCTTGATTCATTCCTCATGTAGTGTTGGCCGTGGATCACGTGTCCGGAGAGTCCACCCCGCCCATGCTGAACCCCGCCCAGCTGGGGCTGTCCCCCAGTGCGAAAGCCAAGCCTCGATCCCACCTTGAGGAACCATGAGTTCACCCTTGAGTATTGAGGGGCAAGGCTGACGAGGGACTGGACCATCGGCCCTGCCCCCATCTTTGCGTGGGGGCTGAAAGACGTGGCTGGAGTCCGGACGATCCATCTCTTTTTTGGTTTCATGATCATTTAAAAAACAGAAGAGACAAACATTTCACAGTCTTAAAAAAAAAGGAGAGTCTGAGAAAGGGCCAGGGGCCCTCCGCCTGCATGCGTGTCCCTGGGGGTCACTGGCCGGAGCCGTAAGGCCAGTTGAAAGTACTCCCCGAGAGCAGCATGTCCCGGATGAGCGTCTCGATGGGCGTCTTGCCCACCAGGCGCATGAAGAACAGCTGGGAGATGAGGGAGGCGGGGACGGCTCGCAGGGCTGGCAGGCGAAGGAGCAGCCGCCCGAAGCGCTGGGGCTGCGAGGGGTACTGGGCCCGCACATACTCAGTCAGCGCCACCTGCGCCTTCTCCTGCAGGCTCTCCACGTGCGCGGGGTCCGACAAGCCGCAGGCATCTGGGGGGGACGAGGGCAAAGTTACGGGTGTGGGCAAGGTAAGGGTGTGGGGAGTCTAGAGGATAACACTAGGGGCACTTGGGATGAGGTTCTTGGGGCACAGATGGAGGTCTCTACTATGCGGAAAAGGGTGCAACTGTGATGTCTTGACAGTGAACAGACCGCCCTGTGCTCTCCAAGGAAGAGCCTTTGCAGGGAGACAAGTTCTAAGGAAGTTTTAGGGGATGCTCAGGTTGAGAAAGGGTTTGTGGCCCTCCCGTGCTGCCTGGAGATGCATGAGCGTACTTAGTATTTATCACACTGACGAAAACCACATTTAGCAAATTAAAGCCGCTTTCCAGAGTGGCTGATTTCTGGGCTTCCTGCCCCAGGGAGACACTTGGTAGGTCTGGAGCCTTTCACAGGAGGGAAAGGATTCCTGTGGGGAGAGTGCCCCAGCGTGCAGAGCTCGCCAGGCCACCATTCGGAGAATTCCGCTGCGCAGCCCTTAACTTACAGCAGCTGCTTGGTTACCAGGGAACAAGCGGGAGCGATGGGAGGGGCCTCAGAACGGAGTCCCACGCCTGCGCAGTTCACAGCTGGCAGTGTGTGAGACCCACTCCTAGGTTTACAGTCTCAAGAATCAAACGGACCTGAGGGAGCCCAGCTCCCTGCCTGGCAACCTCGGTAAAAGTTCATGAAGCATGTAGAAGGCTTTGCTGTAGGGTCAAAGGGCCAAGGGAGAACAGGGGTGGCAGGGAGGGGCTACAGCCAGAAATCAGTGTCTCTAAAAGTAGCTTGATATGGGGGCGGAGAGAAGGGAGGCAAAGGAAGATGAGGGAGAGCCAATGAGACCAGCGAGATTCTTAGGTCAGGGGAACTGGGCTCAATGTTTTCAGGGAGTCATACAACAGGGATGTGAACCCTTCTTGTACCACTTCACTGGCCCACTGCGCACTGGCCCCACTGCTGCGCAGTGCGTGCAGGGCCCCCAGCTGTAGCTAGGTGGGGCTAAAGCCTGGGGGACATACGGCATTTCTCGGCCTGCTGTCCCATCAGCCATCGCAGGGTACAGCAGGGATGGCTTGAGAGCCAGGTATTTGGTGTCCATTGAGGCCGGAATCCCTCCCACCCCTCTGGGCTCTCACCAGGTGTAAAGAGTGCGATGGCCTTGAGGCAGCCGTACTCGGCCGAGTCCACCTGCAGGCGGCCCAGCTTGTCCACCTGCTCCTGGAAGGCGCGCACCTGGTCCATGAAGGCCACCGCGCGCTCGGCGGCCATGGGTGCGGCGTGCAGCCCGGCAGCGGCCAGCAGCGGCGCCGTGTGCAGGGGCAGCGCCGCCTGCGCCGCGTTCAGCACGAACAGCTCGCTCCAGCTGAGCCGCAGCAGCGCCACCTGATCCGCCACCGGCAGCTCGGGGAAGAAGGGCGCGTGGCGCGCCCACTCCACAGTGCTGAAGAGCAGCCGCGCCGCCAGCTCGCACACGTTGTCGATGCCCAGCACCGCGCCCGCCCCGCCCGGGCCGAACGCGCCCGCCGCCCCTGCGCCGAAACGGCCGGTCGCCGCCGGGTAGGGCTCGGCACGCAGCAGCTGCGCGATCAGCTCCGACACTGGTTGGCCCGGGAAGAGGTCGCCGCCCGCTGCCGCCGCCAGCGCCGAGCCCGGAGGGCTGCCCGATGAGGTGGCGCCGGCGCCCGACAGCGAGTGTGGGATGCGGCCGCGCTGCACCGCTGTGGGGCGAGGAAGAAGGGGGCGGGAGAACGGGAGGGTGGGGGATGGGAGGCGGGGGATGAGGAGAGAGTGATGAGAGGTAAGAGGTGGAATGGGGGGGGTACATACAGGTTACCCGCAAGATGGGGTGGTAGAGATAGGAAAAGGGCGAGAAGAAAGAAAACAGGGGCATTGAGAGGGAGACCAAGAAGGGGAAAGAGGGAGGTAAACAGAGAACAGGGGCGATAAAGAGGGAGAGGAAGACACAAAAGTCACCAGAGGCTCACTTTTCAGCACCTCACCACAAGCTCCCCAGATTGTCCATTCCCCCCCTCCCCCCCTGCTGGGGAGATCAAAATCGAGTTCTGTAGACAATCCCAGGTCAGCTGTTCAGGTCCCTGTCATGGCCCCAGCCAACAATCTCTGAGCCCCATTCCACCTGGGGCATCATCACATGTGTGAAAGGGACCCTTGGGTGGGGGGGGCATCTGAATCACACCTGGCCCCCTCCAACTGGACTCAGCTGGGGGGGGTAGTGAGCAGCTCAATCACCCCCACCTGTCTGCCCTTCACGGGGTTCCCAGAGCTGAGGAGGAGGCCAGGAAGGGGTAGCAGCTGCTCTTCTGCAGACAAGCTCATTTGTCTCCCAGCTCATCCCCTCCTCCCAGGCCGTGGCCCTCCAAAGACTGATCAGGTTTGTCAGTGTCCCCGTGGTGACCCATGCCCTGGAGCCTCTCCTGGTCCAGCTTGCAGCTGCTGCGCTATTAGTAGCCTCCTTAGAATGGGTTGGGGGTACCCAGAAGTGGGGGTGAGACAGTCTGAGTTCCTTGATGGCCTGGACCCCAAGAAGGATCCATGTCTCAGCATTAAGTGTGAAGAAGGAAACTGAGGCACAAAGAGGAAGAGATGGCCATTTGCCCACCAGCTTAGGCTGCCTACAACAGGCCTTCCAGGGCAGGCAGGAGGGGGAGGAGGATGCTGGGCTGGGGGCCAGGTGGGGACTAATTAATGAGCATTAATGAGCTGGCACACGCTGTCTGGGCACCTCTGTGAACTCCTGGTCAATCCGCCACAGAGCTGACAAGGGAGGGGAAACAGGAACCCAAGGCTTCAGAGCCCAACAGAAAGCAGGGTCCAGGGTTTGAACCCGCTTCAACAAGTTTCTGAGCAAACTAAAGGTCATCTGTCCAATGAGGGTACCTGGAGGGGCCCCAAAAGTGAGTATCAGCTTGACACTTGCTCTCTGTGCCTTAGTTTCTTCATTTGTAAAATGCAGATGATAACAAGAATAGTAATTATAAGATACCTATCAGCCTATCAGTGAGTGGAGGATTTGTGTGTCATTTACAACAGCACCACCAAGCACATGTAAGTAAGTGCTAAGGGGATGGTAACCTTGGCCACCAAACATTTATGGGGAACAGCTCCTGTGTGCCACACTCTGGTCTAGGCTGGGGATCTGCAGCCTGGAACAGGACAGATAAAAACCCCTGCCCTGAAGGAACAGCTTTTCTGGCAAGAGTGAGTTAATTATCAAGTAAGGTACAATTAGTTGCCCTCAAATTTATTCCAACCAACTCACGTGGAAATGAAAGTAGAAGGAGCCCTGGTAGCACAGTGGCTAACAGCGCAGCTAATAAGCTAAAGGTTGGTGGTTGGAACCTCCTAGCCTTGTGGGAGAAAGATGTGGCAATCCACTTCTATGAAGATTTATAATTTTGAAAACCCTATGCGGCAAGTCTACCTTGCCCTACAGGTAGAACTTGGGATAGACTCAATGGCAGTAAATTTTTTGGTTTAGTGAAAGCAGGGAATTGAGAGGGCTTTGTGGCAGAGATGAAGGAGGAGTCGTGCAGCTATCTTAGGAGAAAGAGTACTGAGTAGGACAAATAGCCTGTGCAAAGGTCCTGTGGTAGGACTGGGCCTGGAGTGTATACTATGTTTATATTTTTATCCCTGAGACTTTAGAGATCTGAAGCCTTGATTTGAGGCACCTTAGCTACCAGGTCTTTTTGGCTGAAAAAAGGCAGAGGCAAAATCTGGGCCAGGTGAGGGTAAATGGTAGAGGCAAAGTTAGGGATGAAACAAACTCTTTTGGGGACAGAGGCTGTCCCCAGCTTCTGCAGAGGCCTGAGGGAGAAGAAATCAACTTTAGAGCAGGAGAGAAGACAAACGCAAGACACAGGTTAGAACTGCCAGACTGGCCTATGACAAAATCAACTGAGGGCTCTCATCCAACTGGCCACATTCTGCTCCTGAACCCCAGGGCTTGTTGAAGTTTCTGGTTCGTTGAGTTCTAAGGTCATGGGCAGAGTTCCAGGGCCAACCACCCATCACAGGTCCACCAGCTTCTTCCACCTTCACCTCCCTACCACCCAGGGCCAGGAGGAAAGGAAAGCTGCCCTTTGCCTTAATGATCTGAGCTACTTCCTGCCTTTGGGCAAACATGAAGCAGGGGTAGGTAGAAGGAAAGACAGCAAAGCACAAGAGGAAAAAATGTCCTTGGTCACAAAGTGGAGGTCAGGCTTGGAGACCTCAGCGGGAAGCCCGGAGCTGAGGAAGCTGCCCCCTTAAAGCAGGGGTGCGGTCAGAAGGATTTCTGGGAAAGCGGAGACAAGAATGCTGGAGAACAATCCTAAAGTGGGCCCTGAGTCGGAGAAGCCGCTTGCACCCTGGGGTCCTAGCTGGACTCTTGCAGCCCCATGTGCAGGCCAAAGGACTATGGGGTCGATGGGGGCAAGGTTACATATCCACCGAGGGCCACTCACCCTCTTTGCGCATGCCGACACGGAAGCACTTTTTGAGGCGACAGTACTGACACTGGTTCCGGTGGTGCTGGTCAATCTGGCAGTCACGACTGGACCTGGGGGAGGGACACAGAGGTCAAGGGTCATGGTGGCACCCACGGGCTACTTCTTAAACCACCTCCTGATAAACAAAAGGAGGGGGACCTTAGGGATAGGGGACAGCTAGGGCTCAGCCCGCAAGTCTGCAAAGAGAAAAGGGGCAGCTGACATGGACTTATGAAGGCTGAGCCATGGACCTTCTGTGAAGCAGCACAAAAAGCAGTATTCCAAAAAAAAAAAAAAGCAGTATTCCAAAGATATAACTGGGTTTTGAGGGATGAATAGAAGTTCTCCAGGTCCCCATCAACAAACGAATAGATAGAGAAGCTCTGGTACATTCATACAATGGAATACTATGCATCACTGAAAAATAAGGACCTCATGAAATATGCAAAATGGGTGACCCTGGGGAACATTATGCTGAGTGAAATATCAGTCACAAAAAGGACAAATATTGCATAGGGCCACTGTTGTAAAATGGGACTGACATCAGGGTTGAGGCAAGACAGAAGGAGGGGAGGAATAATGTATACTGCTTTGAAACAGATGAGGGAGAGAACTGTTTAAAAGGGATATATGATTGGGTATTATTATGACAGGAGTCTAGAATGAAGGCTGCACAGTGGAGTGGACTTGAGGGTAGGGATTACCTAACAATTAAAGAGTTTTACTTTTCATGGAGAAGAGTGAATTGAGGGGGTGGGTGAGGAGGGAGAAAAGTGCAACAACGAATGATTAGAAACCCTAAGTCTCTGTAAACTTTCATTAAAATTTGTAATAATAATTTAAAAAAGTTCTCCAGGTGAACAGAGAGCACGCCAGGCAGCAGGGATGATGTTGTTATGTGCCGTCGAGTCACTTGCAACTCATAGCGACCCTATGTACAACAGCCCTAAAGTCTGCTCTGTCCTGTGCCAATCACACTGTCTCTGATACACCCATCCCAATTACCCCAGGCACTGAATCAATCCACCTCAAAGAGGCAGCAGAGATAGTGAGGGCAAAATCTCGGAAATGAGAAAGTATAGAGGCTCAAGTTTGATTTGGTCTCAGTCATATTAAAGACCTCAAGGGCAAGGTGAGATGAAGAGGACCCAGGAGCTGGGCTGTGTGTGAGTTGACTAAGGGACCAGAGACTGACCCCTCTGGTCCCACAGGAGACTGAAATCCATGAATGAATGATCTCTCCTGTATCGTCCCACATCCATTCTCTGAAGGAGCCTATGACTCTTCTGGGAAGCCCCTGGCGGTTAGTCTTGCCTCTTTGAGGGATGCAACAGGTAACCTCCATAAGGTAATGAGCTCTCCATCCAAGGCCTGACCCAAGGGGTCAAGGTGCTCTTTCTTCAAATATGACTGGCACCTTCTGCCCTGTTCTCCCTTAGCAGGACCTCTCTAAGGCCCAGGGTCCTCCCACAGGCCAGCCACCAAAGGGGTGCCCCAAGACAGAGAGTAAAACACTCAACACAGGAATAAAAGTAATTCGGTGTCAACTGTCTTTCCACCAACACACCACCAGCCTCAGTTTCTTCAACTGGAGGAGGGTGGGCAGAAGCCGACCCTATGTGGGATGCATTAAGGCTTCGAGTCAGAATTCAAGAAACAGGTCCCAGCCAGGGTCTCAAGGGCAGGGCTGGAGAGGCTGAGGCAGGGTGACAGAGAGCCTCGAAGCACCAGCCACCAAGCCCAGGCTCAGCCTCCAGCCCAAACGGCTGAGCACTGGGAAGAGGCCCTGTTAGGGCAGAGGGAGCTCAGGCAGAACCAGAACAAAGCCCAGCAGGCGGTGGGAGGGCCCAGGGCAGCCGGCTGAAACAGCCAGCCTGGGCGGGAGGGCAGTTAGGGGCCCCACTCAGGGCACCCTCAATGCAAGAGCAAACCCTGCCACCTTCTGCTTTAATTTTTCCAGTTATGATATTGGGGAAAGATTTCCTGTCCACCCAGCTTGGGTTTCTGAATAAATGGTAAGTCCTGCCTGTTGTCCTACCTAAAGAATGCATGCTTTGCCCCACCCAGGGCCCCAACCCTGCCTCTTCCCTGAGCTCCTCTTGCCCACAGATTCTGGTCACAGCCCTCTCATGGTCACATAACCTTTACAACTCCCCAGTATCCTCAGTTTGGCAGTTCAGACCCACTCAGCTCTAATTTTTCCGGTGTGTCTGCTGTGTCTAGCCCACCTTCCAGACCCCTCCTTCAGACACTCTTCCCTGGCCTTCACACAGAACCCTCTGTTCTCCCCTGAGACACCCCTCTTCTCCTTCCTCCACTGAGACTCCAGATCCATCCCTCCCCCTGACCCACCATTGACCCCACAGGCATAGAGCATCTGTTTCTAGCTTTGTCTCCCCTAAATAGGGGGCTCCAAGCAGGCTAAGGCTGAGGCTGGGGTCTTTCCAGGGTCCTGCCCAATCCAGATCCCCAGGGACCTTTGCTGACTCAAACTAGGCTCAGAAAAGGAAGTATGATTTCACCAGGTCACACAGCACAGTGCTGCTGCAGAACCTTCTGGTCTGTAACAACGCCCTCCCCCTCAGCTCTTCCTGCCCCAGCCTCAGGGAACCCCGGGGACCCTGAAGCAGCTGAGTTCCCCCCTCCCTTAGCCTCTCCAAAGGCCCGGTGAGAGAGCAGGCAGCTATTCCAGAAGCAAAAATGAGGCCAAAGTCTGGTGGCCCAATTAGTGCCGGAAGGGGTACCAGCTCCTCCTGCGCCCCATCAGCCCCAGGCAGTCCCTGACCTCTGGACCTGGGGTCAGACTCCAGCTAAAAGTACCCCAGCTGCGTTCTGGCCAGTGACCTCTCCCAACAAACCCCATCAGCAGTGTTCCCTGAAGACACTTTGACCTCAACACAGTAGTACTCTCCCTAACCACAACTCCCCTAGCGAAGTCCTAACGAGGTGGGTGGCAGAGGTCCCACCCAGAGGAGGCAGGGTCCATCAACGTGTTATCCGGTGAGGGCAGAGGACCAGTGTTCTGTGCCCCTGGGTTACAGGATTCGGTAGAAAGGACCGTGCTCACCCTATGTGGTGCAAAGCAGGGTTATTTCATAAACGGAATTAATGCAGGGGACCAGGGGTCGTACATCCCTGCCAAGTGCCTTCTCCGGGGGACCTTCTGCTCACAAACCTCAACAAGAAAAACTAGACCACGCCCTGCTGCCAGGACTCCAACCTGGGACAACCATGGCTCTCAGGAAAGACACCACTCCCACCCCGAAGTTTCAGGGATTTTCCAGGGCCTCATATCTGCACCCAGCCCGAGCTGAGGGTGTGAAGGGTCAAATCTGGCCACGGTGGTTTCCGGGGACCCATGCCACTGGTGAACCCAGGGAGTCCCCCTCCCTGATGCGACTGGCTCTGTTTGGCCCCCTTCCCCCAGAGGGCCCCAAGCGAGGGGGGCCCGCCCTGCGCCACCCCAGCCTCCCTTGCGCCGTGGCTCTGCTCGGCCGCCAAAGCGACTTTGGAAGTGATATTTGACCCCAAGGGCGCGCCGTATCGATCCGCGAGGCCGCAGACAATGGTCTCCGGACGCTGCGAGCGCCACGGTCCAACTTCCACGTTCGATTCCCGCGGGATCCCCTGCGCGCCGGGATCCCCCGCGACAAGGGACTTGTGGGGAGCCCTGGCTTTAGGCTCTCACCCCTGACAGCACCCCTAATCCCCTTCAGGCCCCTCTTATACGAAGATGACCCCTACTGGGAAAAAGGAAGGAGGAGGAGCAAATAACTAGGGCGGAAGCCGCAAGGGACCACCTGATGGGGGACCTGCATCGGTGCAGCGCCGACTGTATACACAATCCCCGGGATGGAAAGGAGTGGACCGTGTCCCCATGTTAAAGGGGGAGTGGAGGCCCAGGGAAGGTCAGTGCCAGGCCCAAGGTGACCCAGCGGGTCAGAGGCCTGCCCAGGCCGGGCGCACTGAGGCGGCTGCGCTAACGGGGGGCTCACCGGCAGGTGTAGCTGAGGTTGCGGCGGATGCTCCGCTTGAAGAAGCTCTTGCAACCCTCGCAGGTGAAGACGCCGTAGTGCTTGCCGCTCGACTTGTCCCCACACACCACGCAGTCCACCTGCAGCCCCGGCCGCTCCTCGTCGCCCGGTTCGGCGTCGCTGGCGGCGCCAGGGGGTGAGGCCGAGTCGTCCTCGGCTGCACGCGGGTAGCCACCCGCCTTGTCCACGCCATTCGTGTCACCGCCGCCTCCGGGGCCGCCCCAGCCGCCGGCCACCATGGCCATAGCCCCCGGGCCGCGGGGCCGGGGCGCCCCCGCTGCGCGCCTCCCGGCTCGCACCCCTCTCACTCCACAGTGCGCTACCCGGCGCGCATTCGGCCCCAGTGCACAGGGGACCCCAGTTGCACCCCTCAAAAAAGTTTTGTAGCAGCAACTTCCTGCGGCCGGTCCGCGCACCCGGGCGGAACTGGTCGGGCCGGTTCCAGGCCAACTTTCCCACGCGTGCGCGGGCCCAGGGGCGGGGGGGGCGCACTAGCGGCGATCCCCGGGGGCCCCGGG